ATTCCTTTTTAGAGGCCCCTTTAACCCTAAAAAAAGTGTATACCTATTTAATTTTCATAAAAGTAAATGCTGTTCAAAAAAAAAAAAAAAAAAAAAAAAAAAAAAAAAAAAAAAAAAAAATTTTTTTTTTTTTTTTTTTTTTTTTTTTTTTTTTTTTGGGGGTTTGAACCACGCTGACGAGTCTAAAACTCCAAGTAAGCAAGCCACTCGCCAGTTGGTGACACTAAGAGTCATCCAACTAGGGGATATCTATACACCCAAGAAATTAGCATGGGCCCCATTGTGAACCAAGTGTAAATAAGGCTTGTTACAGACACCATGCATTTTCTGTTTTGGCTTCAGTTTTTTTTACAAAGGGCTTTGTTTTTTATCGCATCTTTTGCTCAAACTAATATGCCTAAGGCCAAAGGGATTTCATGTGAACAAGTTCTTTCTCCAAAGAAAAGCTAAATTTTCCTATTGATATTTTTCCCTTGTGGTTTTGTACCGTCCGCGAGTACCTTTCACATTAAACACAAAGAAAAAGGGTTTTCACTCTTTTACCGAAAATTGAGCCTTTGTGGCATCCAGGCAGAGAAATGAGCGTGGGCAGTGGGTTTTGGTGGTCCCCGGGGTAGACGAGGGGCAGCACTCTTCCAAAGCGCAGTCACTCCTCCCACGCTGTCACCTGCTGTGCCCCACTGGGTGACCCAACCCTGTGCCAAACACGGAAGTAAAAATTTCTTAAAATTTAAACACAAAAAATGAAAAACTTTTAAACCCCAGTTTACAGATAAAACAAAAATAAAAGAATACAGACGAAAAAGGGTAAAGGACGGCTGCAGGGAAAAAAAGGAATTGTTTAGGGGAGAGCTTTACCTTTGTCTGAATTAGAAGCATGACCCCGCATCTTAAATTGAGCGTGAAATTTAACTTATTACATGTCGCCCCCAAAATCAAGATTTTTACACAAAACATTAGCTTTCCATAGCATCAAGAGCCGATTTCGAAGTTACATGGATACCCGTTTAGGGTTAAGATACTATTTTCGACCCATAAAATGGCATATCTATTCCCGGAAAAAAACGGGCATTAAACAGTTGCAAATTTTACGTCACTTCTCATGAAATCAATTACCAATGATGGCCTACAAAAAATAAGTATTGTTATAATATTTATAAAAAACTAAACCCGCATGGATCAACGAAATAACAGCAATGTAAAAATTTTTTTACATACAAAAAATTTTAAACTTCATAGCCGGAAAGGCTAAGACATGCAGGTGTCTTTAGAGGCTCACCGTTGTTGTGTTTTGGGGCGCGGTGTCTTGGGTGGGTGGGCGGTGCTGTGTGGGCGGGGGGGTGGGGGGGCGGGAGGCCATGCTATCCCCACGCCAGGGCAGTATCCCCCGCCCCCCGCTATTGCCCCCTTGAGAAAGAGTACAACCCTCAGAAATTTATATGTCATTAAACAAAAAGTAATTTTACTAAAAAATATAAATGTTGAAAAATTTGCAGGTGTTTGAAAATTACCTAAAGGGGGCCCAAGGGAAATTTTTTTTTGAGAGATTTTAAAACTGAAGGTTTAACAAACAAGGTGTGGGATCAAACGCTTTTAAACCCAGGTTAGTTTCATAAAATTGAAAAAAAAAAAACAGCGTGCCCGCTCCAAAGGTTTAACACCCCCTCCTTTAAAGGTTCACTCAGATAAAACTTGCCTGGTCAAGTTAAAAGTAGGTCCAAAAACGTCGTCATAAGCTATGTGGGGTTATAAATATGGCAAGTCAGTATTAACTACCAGGCCAGGTGTTATCTATGACAATGCCCGCCGAATGTTTTTTTCTCCGGCTTTTCATGAGTTCAATCCTCCGATAGGTCAAAAACTTATTTTTTTTTCCCTATTCATTCTTTTTTTTTTCCCTTTTTTTTTCCATATTTTTTCTTCCCCTTCGACCTACACCCTTTCCTTTGTCCCACTTTTCCCCCCGTCTTGCATCCTCTCTTCCATATCCAAACTAAGAAATTTGAAATTTTTTCGAATACACAACGCATAAGCCGAATGTAACTTTTCACAATCAGTTAAAAAATTAACCCTAAATGTTTTTATCCTTCACACGGAGATAATTCTATGCCTCAGCTCGAAATATGAAAGAACAGTAACACCACGCTCCAAATTCTAAGCTTGACTAATTAATAATTTTCATTCACTGAGACTCTTTTTCCCCCCCTTAGTAAAACTAAATATGTCTACTATACTTTTAAATGTTACTCACTCTTTCATGGTGACAAAAAGGGAATTGCTTCTGGAAAAACTTGCTTAACTCTGTAAACCGTACGAAAATTAGTCTTACAATGAATAATTTAAATAGAAAAATTTTTTTGCATAAGCAATAACTCTAAAAAATTTTAAAAATTATTAATGAACATTAAACACTAAAATTATATTCTTTTCACAAAAGGATTTCACATGTGTCTTATTCTCAAATTGTCTGAATTAAGGGTTTTCCTTGCAATGCGGACTGCTTTACACTGTGAATGTTTACCACCGTGAAGGAAGAGTTAAGAACGTTTATACCATTGCGGAAAGGGAGGTACCCTTTTCACAAAGAAAAGTGGGGAAAGTTTCAAAATTGAAGGAAAGTGAAAAATGTTTTTTTAACTTATGACCTGTAAGTCCTTGTGGCTTAGCGCTTTTTTTTGATTAAATAAATTAACTTAGACAAAAAACGAAAGTATACCTTGAAGAGTGGCAACATTTCCACCTTATGAAGTGAGGCGAAGAACATTCTACTCATAAACCCAATGTAAAGAAAAGTCTTTTCTGAATGGTGTTGATATATAAAATATAATATAATATATATATATATATAAATTTAAAATTTAAAATATAAAACAATTTATATAAATATATATATATAAATATAAAATATTAATAAAATATATATATTAAATATAATATATTTTTATATATTATATTTTTATAAAATATATAAATATTAATATAATTTTATATATATATATATATTATATATTATTATTATAATATATATATTATATAAATATATTATATATTATTATTTATATATATAATATATAATTTAATATAAAATATAATATTAATATATAATAGTATATATAATATATATATATATGTACAAAATTTTATATTAATATTATATATAATAAATATATATTATATAATATATAATATTATATATTAAAAATATATATATATATTAATAATATATATATATATTATATATTATAATATTAATTATATATATATATATATAAATATATAATAGTACTATTAATATATATAATATATAATATATTTAATAATATTATTATAATATATAAAATTTATAATTAAAAATATATATATTATTAAAATATATATATATAAAAATATTAATATAAATATATATATATTTAAATTATTATAATTATATAAAATTTAAAATTTTATATTTATAATATAAAATATATATATATATATATAAAAAAAAATTTAAATAAAAAAATATATGGTAATATGTTGTGTGTGTCGTCCCAAATAGGTAACACTTCAAAAAATTCCCTAGGAAATGGAAGGGAAGCACGTTACAAGCGAAAAACCAGTGAATTACATAGTATACAACAGCACAGGACATCGAAAAGAAATATTCAAATTCTGTAGTACGTAGGAATCACGCTAGTGTGTTGCGTTTTTAAAATTCTTTATTGCCCCCTAGCCGCTTCTTGTGATGTATATTTGGGCCCTTTGCCAAAACCCAAAGGCCCCGTACAGTCTAGGAGAGTAGAGACATAAGAGCAGTTTCCATACTGTTTCTCGGTTTCATCAGAAAAAATTTGGGTTTCCGGGGGTTTTAGCCGATTGTTGTAGGTAGCATCGTGGGGAGGTAGTATAGATGGGGTTGGACTTTGAATGACGGGGCCAGGATAGTTCTTACTCTTAATCTAGCTTTCCCAATTAATATACTGAAATTTTTACTTTTGGTTTGTAAACTAAACGGTGAAAAAAATAAGAATTCCAATGTCTGTCACTTCCCACAATCTTTCATTAGATTTTATTTTCCCCCTTTATTTTCTGTTAGTCTTTTTGTTGACGCCTTTTGTTTGATTTGGCCTGATAGATTTCTCTCTCTCCTAGTCTTTATCCCTTTCGGGCCCTTTAAAACTTACCTTGCCCTTTAAAACTTGCCCTCCTAGAGTCTTAAGTGACGAGGAAAAGTTGCCTTCACGAGAGCAGAGAGACTCGTTCCACACAAGAGAGATCATCTGATTATAAGGTGGGGAAATATGCGTTTCCCAGTAAAATTTTCAACACACATTCAGATAAGAATTCTTACATCGTTTATGAGTAGAATGTTCTCGCCTCACTTCATAAGTGGAAATGTCTCACTCTTCATAGAGATACATTCAGCTTTTGTCATAAGTTAATTATTATAATCAAAAAGAAGCGCTAAGCCACAAGGACTATACAGTGTCATAAGTTAAAAACATTTGTTCACGTTCCTTCAAGTTGAAACTTTCCCCACTTTTCTTTGTGTAAAGAGTACCTCGCCTTCCAGCTAATGGTATAAACGTTCTTAATCTCCTCACGCGGGAAACATTCACAGTGTAAAGCAGTCCGCATTGCAAGGAAAACCCTTAATTCAGACAATTTGATGAATAAGACACATGTGAAATCCTTTTGTGAAAAGAATATAATTTTAGTGTTTAATGTTCATTAATAATTCTTAAATTGTATTTAGAGTTATTGCTTATGCAAAATAATTAATCTACTTAATATTATTCATTGTAAGACTATATTTACGTCACGAGTTGACAGAGTTAAGCAAGTTTTGCCTAGAAGCAATTCCTTGTTGTCTACCATGAAAGACGTGATGTAACATTTAATTGTATAGTAGACATATTTAGTTTTACTAAGGGGAAACAGAGTCTCAGTGAATGAAAAATTATTAATTAGTCAAGCTTTAGAATTTGGTAGACGTGGTGTTACATGTTACTTTCATATTTCGAGCTGAGGCACTAGAATTATCTCCGTGTAGAAGGATAAAAACGCCATCTTGGAAACTTAACATCTTTATTTTGATTTCATCTCATTGGAGAATGTCCCGCTTTATTTGTTTCCCAGTTATGTAAGATCTTACTAGGGACAGATATAAGATGTGAAACTTGGGAGGGAATTTCTTGGAAAAATGCGACTCGTACAGAGGTGGGCCTAGAGACATAATTTTATGTATCCTTAGCAGCATATGTATACACATGTTATATGGTAATGAATCATATTTTAGGGTTGGTAAATTGTTACTAGGTGAAGTATACCATGTAATAGGGTATCGGTGTCACTGATATTTCTTTCACAGTACCAGCCTCGTCGACGGAAGCCTCCGAAGAGTCTAGCCAGCCTGATGGAAGCTGACCCGGGAGCTCCCCCGCTGCCCTATCGTGTCCAGGGGTGAGTTGATACAAGACAGTGAAGGCACAATCTTGTATACACACCGAGAGGTGTGTGTCCATATGTTAGGGATTAGGGTATTCTTAACTGATTGTGAACAAGTTACATTCGGCTTTATGACCGTTGTGTATTCGAAAAACTTCAAATTTCATTAGCTTGGATATGGAAGAGAGGATGCAAGACTGAGAAAGTGAGGACTAGAGAAAGGGTAGTGAGGTCGAAGAGGAAGAAAAAATATGGATAAAAGAAAGGAGAAATAAGAGAATGAATAGGGAAGAAAAATAAGCTTTCTGACCTATCGGAGGACTTGAACTCATGCAAGCCGGTAGTAAAACATTCTGGCGGGCATTGTACAGTAGATAACACACTGGCCTGGTAGTTAATACTGACTTGCCATATTTAATAACCCGCACATAGCTTATGACGACGTTTCGGACCTACTTTGAACTTGACCACGTGTCAATGTTTTATCTGAGTGAACCTTTAAGGAGACTGATGTAAACCTTTAGGAGCGGGCACGCTGTTTTTTTTTTTTCAATTTCAATGAAACTAACCTGTGGTTTAAAAAGCAGTTTGCATCCTACACACTTGTTTGTATTAACTTCTTGTTGCAGAGTTGCAAGATATTGCAATTTTTTTCCTCCCTGGCCTACAAAATTGGTAAGATGTACAATGTTCTAGTCAACATCAGATGAAAGATAGATTATCTAAATTTCAAAGTTTTTTGCGAGAAATGTCAATAGATTGCATTATAAAAATTTTTGGAATTTGTGTTTTTTTTAGGAGTTTTTTGGGAGAATAAGAGTAAAAACAAAATGGTAAAACATATTGCAAATCACCTGTGAAGATTAATAGAACCATCATTCATCAGTAATGTGTGAAAAAAATCATGGCACTCCTATTATTAATCTCAAAAACAAATAAAACAAATGTCAATAACTTATTCCTGAATTATTCATGTTTTTGTTTCTATAAAATTCAACGGACCTGGCGCGCCAGATCTGAGCGTGTTGCAAACCCCCTATCATTGACAGCCCAGAGGCAACTGAGCAGCAACAACTCTGTGCTCTTCACTTTAGTCCTCACAGAACTTGCCATGTTTAGTATTTAGAATTAAATAATCATAACAGTAATTTTTGGAGTAAAAAAAAAAACACTAATTGCCAACATGTCCTCTTGATGACAGCAAAAACATAAAAATTACATTTTTGAAAAAACATGCTTAGAAATATGATAGAAACAAGCTGATTGCATCAACATGTTACCAGAATTATGAACTTTTTTTGGTAAAGCATTTTTCCATAATTTTTCAACTTCAGTTTTAAAATCTCTCAAAACAAGATTCCTTGGCCCCTTTAGGTACATTTTCAAACACCTGCTAATATTCAACACTTATATTTTTTAGTAAATACTTCACTTCTTGATTAATGACATATAAATTTCTGACGGTTAGTACTCTTTCTCAAGTGGGCTAATAGCTGGGGGCGGGGGATACTGCCCTGGCGTGGGGATGAGCATGGCCCTGCCGCCCTCCCACGCCCACGCCCACACAGCACCGCCCACACCACCCAAGACACCGCAGCACCAACACAACATACGGTGAGCCTCTCAAGACTACCTGCATGTCTTAGCCTTCCGGCTATGAAGATTAAATTTTTGTATGTAATAAAATTTATTACATTGCTGTTATTTCGTTGATCCATGCGGGTTTAGTTTTTTATGAATATTATAACAATACTTATATTTTGTAGGCCATCATCTGGTAATTGCATTTCATGAGAAGTGACAGTAACAGATTGCAACTGCTATTAATGCCTAGTTTCTTTCGGTGACTAGATATGCCATTTTATGGATCGAAAATAGTATCTTAACCGTGTATCACTGAAGCCGTTACTGGTGGTTGAAGGCCCAAGCTAAAAATAGTAAATATTACTTATCCTAACGAAGTTGTACAGTAGCAGACGTACATCCGCAGCACGTTGTCTGAACTTGGTATCCATGTAACTTCTGAAATCGGCTCTTGATGCTATGGAAAGCTATAAGTGTCTAGTTGTGTAGAATCTGTGATATGTGGAGGCAGACATGTAATAAGTTACATTTCACGCTCAATTTAAGCATGCGAGGTCATGCTTCTCATTCAGACGAAGGTGAAGCTCTGCTAAACATATTCCAGTTTTTCCTGCAGCCGTCCTTTATCCTTTTCAGTCTGTATTCTTATTATTTTTGTATTATCTGTAAACTAGGATATTATATAGTCTTTCATTTTTTTGTGTTTAAAGTTAAGAAATTCTTACTATCCTGTGATTGGCACAGGGTTGGGTCATCCAGTGGTGGCACAGCAGGTGACAGCGTGGGCAGGAGTGACTGCAGCTTTGGTAAGAGTGCTGCTTCCTCAGTCTACACCAGGGACCACCACAACCCACATGCCCACGCTCATTTCTCTAGCCTGGATGCCACTAAGGCTCAACTTTTCAGGTGAATGAGTGTAAACCTTTTCTTTGTGTTTAATGTGTAAGGTACTCGCGCGACTGTGTATCGTACACACAATGGGAAAAATATCAATAGCGCAAATAGTTAGCATTCTTTGGAGAAAGAACTTAGATTCACATGAAATCCCATAGGCCTTAGTGCATATATAGTTTGAGCAAAAGATGCGATAAAAGACAAAGTCCTTGTTAACAAAAACTGAAAGCCAAAACAGAAATGCATGGTGTCTGTAACAAGCCTTATTTACTACTTGTGTTCACAATGGGGCCCATGCTAACTTCTCTGTGGTGTATAGATATGCCTAGTTGGATGACTCTTAGTGTCACCAACTGGCCGAGTGGCTTACGCATTAGCTTGGAGTTTTATGACTCGCTCAGCGTGAGTTCAAACCCCATCCGTTCTAGGGTTTGGAATTGTGTTATTACTATTTCTCGAGTCAGCCTTGTTACTTAAGCCAATTAACCCCTTGGTTATACATCATTGGTAAAGCCTCATTTAAATTGTGTAGCATACATAGTTCCAGAGAGGGATCCAGTAATTCTCCAGGGAAGGAAGGGCATCCTTGCTTATGCCGAGAGTGAAAATCAGTGCAAATGAACAGCATTTTACATTTATATGAAAATTAAATAGGTATACACTTTTTTTATGGTTAAGGGGCCTACTAAAAAGGAATGAAAAGCATTTAATCATTTCATTATGTTCGCTCTTACCAGTGATGCAACCATACAATAAAAACAACATAAACATATACAATTGACTTTTAAAACATTATTCAGCTTTATAGGCCTGCTGTGTAACAGTCTCTAATTTCCAAATTTAACATATCGTTCAGTAACTTTGTCCACATCAACTAAAAGTGTCAGTGAATGTGAAACACTGCCAGTCCGTACAGCCTCACCTCAGTAATTTGAACGCGTTGCAGAGTTTGCAAACTGTGTTCATTACTGCTAAACTAACAGGCAAGGTTAGATATTTTCAACAATATATATTTTATTTCATTCACTTAATGTTTGTAATAGACAATTTGGTACAGTTTTCTTTTGCCATTGTTTCATTCTCCAGAGATAAGATAGCATCTTGGTATTTATGATTATTGGAACCAGAAACATTTTTTAAATAATTTTACGGTGCTGGTGCCATGTATTTTCAATATTACTTTTGATATCAGATTCCGTTTTCATTTTTTCTTCTTGTCCCATAATATCAAGACAAAGAATGATTGAACTTGTAAAATTTTAAGATTTTCAATTCATCCTTTCAAACATTATGAAATACCGCGTCACTGATGTCTCTGTAATAATGAAGTTAAATCATTAACTAAATTATGGGCGGCAAAAGTTTAGACGCATAGAAGCACATTGAAATAATTTTTTCCCAGGTATGGATACCTAGTGCTAAAGTTTAGCCAAGTAGCTGAACTCGGTATTAGCCAAAAAGATTTTGATTTTTATTTTTTTTGAGGGGGGAGTCCGAGTAATTCAAGAGGGTTTCGGGGGTCAGCGGCTCGGTCTGATTATTATTATTATAATCAAAAAGAAGCGCTAAGCCACAAGGGCTATACAGCGCTGCAGGGTAGGGAAGGAAGCAAGGGAATTGGATGGCAGAAGGGAGGGGGGATGATCAGCAGGTTACAGAAAACAGCGGGGCAGGGGATAGTACGGGGTAGAGGGTAGCAAGAGATTCAAGTAGAAAGGGCTGAAAGTATCAGAATCTGTGAAGTAAGTCAGTCGTTGTCAAAAAGTCAATGAGAGAGTCCGGATGAAAGGTGGGTCCATCAGCGAGAAGGGAAGGTAAAGAGAGAGCACGGGGCGAAGACGACGACAGAGGTAAATTCTGCGTGCTCGTTGATAAAGTGGGCAGTCCAACAGAATGTGGCTGACTGATAATGGAGCTTGGCAATTCTCACAGAGAGGAGCAAGACGCCTCTCCATGAGATATCCATGAGTAAGACGAGTATGGCCAATGCGAAGACGGGAGAGAGTAGTCTCCCAACCTCGACACTGGTGATAAGAAGACGGCCAGTAACCTATACTCGGTTTAATAGACTGAAGTTTGTTGCCAAGCATAGTAGACCAACGTTGTTGCCAACGGGTGTGAAGGTGGGAAGATATTACAGCAAAATAGTCCGTACATGGAATACCTCTATAAGGGAAAAATGGTAGGTCATGTACTGCTGACCGCGCAGCAGTGTCTGCCTGTTCATTGCCCTGTACGTCAACATGACAGGGACCCAACAAAAACAATATCTTTATGCTTAGTAAAGATGCGGCGTAGCCAATAGTTGGATACGGATGGACTAAGCCGTGGTGAGGTTGTATCAATTTTTGTATAGCCTATAATGCATAAGGGAGTCTGAGGAAAACCAAAATGATGACAAGGCATAGAGGCAATACGGATAAGTGCTGTAAAGGATGGCATATACTTCAGCAGTCAAAAATATAGCTGAAAGATAGTAATGCCTTGTACGACGCTGTCCGGAGAAAAACACTGCTGCGAATCCTAAGCGTTTCAGAAGACCTTAGGCCATCTGTGTCACACAGCAATGGCATGAGAATGAGAGTGAAAGTGGTCAAGAAAAAGAGCGCGGGGGAAGCGACCGTAGACAGGTTGGCTTTCGAGCAGGGAGGGAGAAAAAGGAAACAGACTCGAAACAGATTGGAACTTCCCAGGGGAGTAGGGCCAAAAGTGAGATGCTACATGTACATAGAATGGTGTAGTTGAAGAGAAGACAAGAGCGAAAGAAGGCGAGAAGAAAATGAGAGAAGGGGGAGGAGTAAGCAGGGGCGCGCGAAACAAATAAAGAATGTCTACTATATAATCAGTACCATTCTCTTAAAATGGAAGGATTGCGGAGATCATGAGAGCGTACATAGTAGCGCAGGCAATGGGCATCACGGCGATCGGATAAAGATGACGTTCGCTTGCATTAAGAGGCTTTCGACAGGGGGAAGATCGAAAAGCACAAGGCTTAAAGTAATCCTTGGTGATGAATGGGGTTAAGGCTAGAGAGAGTAGCAGGAGATGCCGACTGTAATAGATGCTGGTCACATATCAAGTTCGATTAAAATGTGGGTTGGAATGTAGGAGGAAGGAGGGTTCGCGATCAGCTCCACGAAAGATGGAGCAAGGGTTTTAAGAAGGTTCAGACGGCTGTGGAAAGTTGCCTTCAGAGAGGAATGTGAGGTTTCAGGTATCACTACGATCAAATAGGAGGGCCCGAAACTTGAACTGTTATCTCGTCAGGGATACGGGAGACTTAGAGGTACAAAGGATGATCGGAGATGGACAAGAGCGTCTAGTGTGGAGTGATTTGGTGGGTTTTAGTGCTGAGGAAACTTTAAAACCCATGTGTGGTGGCCATTGTGAAACACGGTCGATGCATGCTGGAGAGAAACTGTTAAGGGGTGACAGTCAGGCCTGGCAAGGCAATAGCGTACAGTCATCAAAATAGAGTGATGACCAAATATTTGATGGAAGACTAGAGGCCAAACTATTAATATGCAAGGAGAATAAAAAAGTGTTGTGCTCAGAAACACATCCCTGGGGGACTCACCTTCAGCTTGGAATAAAAGTCCGGGGAGGAGCACATTATTAACCGACACGGAAATGCCTGTCAGTTAAATGTTCTTAACGGGAAGGGATGGTAGATTGCCTCGAAGGCCTAAGGAGTGGGCTTGGGCTAAAAATATTATACCTCCAAAGTTGTGTCTTATTGCCTCTTAAGGTCAAAAAATCATGGACATAACTGAGTGGTTATTCGCCAAGGCATTACGAAATACGTTTAGTATCAAGCGCATTAAGGGGTTATGGATAGAAGTCCCTTACGAAAAGCCATATTGACGAGTTGGAGAGATGTTGTGTTGTCTCAAATACCTCACTAACGTCTATTTATAGAAATTCCATTAATTTGCAAACTGCACTGACTGGTAAGGAGCAATGGGACGATAGATGGGAGGTTTCATGTCCCGGATAGGCCTGGTTGCGGACAAGGGAGAACAATGGCGGATTTCCACAGCTGTGGGAAGAACTCTGGGGACCAAATAAGAATTGTAAATGGTAATAGGACTGACAAGGCTGACTGATGTAAATGTTGCTAGCATACGAATATGAATGGCGTCGGCCCAGCTGCCTATGATCAGACAAGCTGGAGAGTGTTGCTCTCCAGTTCTTGAGTGTTAAAAGGCACATTAATACTGTTCTTCTCTGAGAGAAGAAAAGTCCAAGGGTGCTACACTTCTCTGGCAGACTTTGAGGAAAGAAATGAGGGGCACTAGATGGAGTCCCTGAGAAATACGGACCAGATGATTGCAATTTCATTGGCAAACATCTAGTGGGTTTGCTATATCAACACGGCAACCCGCAGAACAGGAGCCGGGTAGGAGATATACTTACCACTCCGTTTTCGTACTTTTTTTCCAGACTGCACTCATAGAGGAAGCAGAGGTGGTTGGTGGAGACATAATCATCGCCAGCAAGTGCGGTTTAGCGTCACGAGTATGACACGGCGGAGCGATCGCACGCTTCTGTTTAAAATCAAGGAGTCGCTCTGTGGTTCTATTTGTAACGGTACCTGCCCCATGCAGCGCGTTTCAAACTTATACTGCACGAGCACAAGGCAGGAGACCCACCAAGGCAGCGCAGTCTGAGAAATGCTGCCCGAAGTTTGGGATAGAATGAGAAAGCTGCGGTGTGAAAACGCGCGAGGACGAGAAGAGGTGTAAAAGTCATCGATGGAGGACGAAGAAGGAACCTCTTTAAAAACAGTCAGGTGTGAGTATAGGTTCCAATTTGCCGATTAAATTGCCAGCGTGGGGTGCGAGAGGTTGGCGAATATGAAAGGGGAAGTAAGAATGACTTGGGAAAATGATCAACTGTCTTGTAAGTCTGGGGGAACAGACCAAGTGAAGTCTAATGCGGCCGAGGAAGAGCAAACTGAGAGATCGATGCAAGAGAGAGTCTGAGTCCGGGATCAAAATGGCGCTCTTTGTGTGAGTACCTGTATTTAAAACATTGGAGAGGGGTGGGTGGGGCAAGAAAAGCCTCTAACTGAATTCCACGGGAATCACAGTGAGACCCCCCCCAAGGAAATGGTGTGCTTTAAAATCACCAAGTACAGAATCGGTGGCGTAATGACGAAACAAGCAAAGGCAAAAATCCGGAATATATACATGCCCGAGGAAGAAGAGAGATATAAAGAAACAGAGCGTAAACCACCTATGCTAAAGTGGATACGGGCTGCTGTTGTAATGCAAGCGATAAGTATGAACAAATAGCTGATGGTACGGAATATCAGTGGGGAGAAGAAGGGCACTTTATTAAAAGGTCCCTATCAGGAAAAGGATTCTGAAGAATACAATAATTATAGCCTGAGATGTGAGAAATAACAGCTAGTGTAATTTTGGTTCCTGTAAGCCAAACACCAACAGGGGCAAACTGGGAGAGTAACATCTGCAAGAAAATCAAACCCCGATTACCCTGAGGCCGCGTATATTCCACTGTAAAAAGAGCCATGAATTGGCAATGTGATAAAGATACTTGAAATCCGCAGGTAGGGTTCCTACGGACTAGAAGGTTAGAAAAGTCCACATGGGGAGGGCAGTGGAAAATGTTCAAGCAGCGAAGGAACGGTGCGCTGTGAAGAAAGGAGTTGCGCAGATGGAGCAGAGGAGAGAGAAAGAGCGAAGGTGGATCAGTGTCCATTGATGGTTTGGTCTCTGCAATATATTCAGAGATTGCTTCAAGTGTTTCGAATTCAGAGATGTCGTATGGGAGACAATATTGGGAATGGTAGGGGGAGGATGAGTAAAGATTGGAACTGTATTGGACTGTACCAAGGTAGGGGGGGCGAAAGGGTGGAGGGAACTGGAGAAGCGTGGCAGGGGACAGAAGAGACAGAACCTGGGAGGTGGCAGAAGAGGAAGAAACTTGGGAGGGAACAGGGAGGAAGGTACATTACGAGGAGGAGGGTGAACCTCTGCACTTGTAACTGAGCCAGTGAGAGGGGAAGAACTAGGGACAGAGACAGGGAGGGTAAAATGAGGAGGTGAAGATGGGTAGGAGGTGTTACCGGACCTTTTTTTGACTTTTGAGAAGTAGAGGACGATTGGAAGAGGTGTCGTACGAGGTCTCGTCGATACTGAGGCTTGTAAGAGAGAACTCGAAGAAGCGAGATTAGACTGAGGCGTTGAAGTAGGGACGTCTGAGCCGAGGACAGCAAAAGGATTAGATACAGGAGTGATTATGGGAGAGGTAAACCACAGAGGTGGGTGTAGAAGATGGGATACCAGAAGTGGGGGGGACGTTTTGAAACACGGGAATAAGAAACACGTGGGAGTCTCCCTTGGAGGCGGAGATGAGAAACTGCCATGGCATAAGGGAGACCTTCTGTCTCTTTGAGGTAACGGATTTCCCGCTCGTTTAAATAGACCTGACAACGGCGAGAGTACGAAGGGTGAGCCTCATGACAGTTAAGGCAAGAGGGAGATCGATTGCAAGACGTATTAGAATGGTCATCGGCACCACAGACTGGGCATTCGGCGATAGATCTGCAATATTTCCTGGTTTGGCCAAATCCCCAGCAATTTCTACACTGTTGTGGTTAGGGATCACCTTTCAAACTTTTTAAACCGTTTGTCCTGCTATTAAACGAGGGAGGGGGTTTCTCGGCTGTCAAAAGTTAAACGAGCCACATTGCTAGGGTATGGGTCTCCGCCCAGGGGCAGGAAGAACGAAAATTGCCCTACCTTGGGGATTGGGAGATTTTGGGAGTTCCGCTGTTTTTAGAATGTCGGTGCCACATGCCCCCTGGTTTAAAATTATTATTTTTAAATTTTTCAAAAAAGCGTAAGCCACAAGGGTATACAGCGCTGCAGGGGTGGGGAAGGGAAGCAAGGAAATTGGAGGCAGAAGGGAGGGGGGATGATCAGCAGGTTACAGAAAAAAAGGGGGCGGGGGATAGTCCCGGGGGTAGGGGGGAGCAAGAGATACAAGTAGAAAGGGCTAAAACGAAACAAAATTTGTGGAGTAAGTAAATCTTTTTAAAAAAAGTCAATGAGAGAGCCCCGGTGAAAGGGGGGTTTCCATCGCGAGAAGGGAAGGTAAAAAAGAGAGCAGCGGGGCGAAGACGACGACAGAGGTAAA